ATTGGTGAATGGATTTGTTTACCACTTATACAAACGACTCGGGACTACAAAAAATTACGGCGCCACCACTAACCTCCACAACACTTCACACATATACTGCTGCAAACACTAAGTATTTCCAGCCTATACGTTTCCTGGTAACGACTTCTGACAATGGCCATTCATCTGCTTCCATGCTCAAGTTCCGTACAGAACTGACTGCCAGCTATCAACTGACTTGGTTTCCTAATGCTCCTCCCCATGGACCTCGTAGGTAACTCCCCGTTTCCCCCGTTACATGCGCAACCGTTGCCGCGGGAACGTGTTTACCCGTTTCCCAGAAACGAGGGTGATATTACCGCCCATCTCACGATCGTTACTATGCACGCTGCAATAATATTAGACCACTCTCCTTATTTCTAAAAAATAAAGGTAGACTTATGCAATCACCATACTCTCTGTGTGTGTCTGTGTGTCCCCCCATTATTATTCTATAGCTGAACCATTCTCTATCCTACCTAACCAGCGCAGTTTGTGAACCCTACAGGTCAGTCTATATGTGTCTGTATGTCTATATTTGTATCCCCCTATCGTTGCCAGGCAATGGCTCGGTAAAAACGTTACTGCGGCAACAACTACACACGCAACAGTAGAAGAATTGTTGTACACGTCGTTTTCTCTGCGGTTCATGTCGTAGCAAGAAAGTTTGCGGCTAGTACTTCCCAGAACTTATTGTTTAAAATTCGGGGCATACACACATTCCTCCTTTCAGAATGCTATCAACTCGTCTGCACGCCTATTAAGCCTTCTTTCGCCGTCTTCAAAATTAAAGGAGCCTGTGAAGCCTTTTTCATTGCCGTCACAACAAAGGCCTGACGCTGGATCATGTAACGGAAATGCAGTTGAATATGAGGTCAAACGGCAGAGCGGAAGGTCCGCGAGGTCTGGCGAGCCAGTTTGAGTTCATGTTGTCCAGGGCCTGTGGAAGCTCACTAGTTTATGTGTCAACTTGGGTGTCTAAGAAAAAATTCTGAACAGTTAAATGTGAATTTGAATAAGTGACCTTTCCGGAGCTCATATGATGTTGAAGAAAATTGTGTAGTAGGGAGCTACATAACTGGCACTTGCTTACTTACTTACTCATGGAGCTGCGCCCTTCTTGAGGAGAAGCCAAATCTGCAGCTACTCAAGAATTTCCCAGCAATTTATGGAACCCGAAGGTTGATTACCGTGTTCACAAGAGTCCTCCACTTGTCCCTATCCTGAGCCAGATCTATCCAATCCATACCATCCTATCTCTTTAAGATCCATCCTAATACTCTCCACCCACCTACGCCTTGGTCTTCCCAGGGGTCTCTTTCCTTCTGGCTTTCCTATCAATATCCTATATGGCATTCCGTTTCTTCCCCATTCGTGCTACATGCCCTGCCCACCTCATCCTCCTTGACATAACTTACACTCTTTGCGAAATATAATTAGACCGATAGCGTCAAGGAGGATGAGATCGGCAGGGCATGTAGCCCGCATGGGAAGAAGCAGAACGCATATAGAGTTTTGGTGGGTAAGCCGGAAGGAAATAGGACAGAAGGAAGACTAGACATACAAGCAGATGGGAAGATAATATTAGGTTTGGTCTTGAAGAAATAAGATGGGTTGGTATGACTTGGATTCATCTATTCATCTGGCTCAGAACAGTGACCTGTGGAAGGCTCTAGTGAACACAATAATGAACTTTCGTGTTCCAGAAAATGTTGGGAAATTCTTGAGTAACTGAGCGACTGGAGACTTCTCAAGAAGGGCTGAGCTTCGTGGCGTTGGTTCCGAAATCATACCGTTCTGTTTTGGGCAACAGAAGAACATAGATTTATGCTTGTTGAAAACAAAGTTCTGAATAGAATATTTGAACGCACGGGAAAGTTACAGGGAGATGGAGAATAATATCCAGTGAGGACTTTCGTAATTGATAGCTATCACTACATATTATTACAGTCATATGATCCATGAGGATAAGTTCGTCAGTGCAAGCACTCAGCATAGGTAATGAGAAAGTTGTAAAAAAATTTTATTCGGAAAACTTGAAGGAAAGAGACCACTTGGGAAATGTTGGTGTTAGATTGGGGAGAGTATAAAATGTATTTAAAATAAAGAGGACGTGAGGAATTGGATTTCATTCAAATGGCTCAGAATAGAATCCAGTGACACACTGCTGTGAACATGGCGATAATCTTCACGTTGCATAAATGCCATGAAATGTCTCGACTAACTGAGGCACTAGTAGCTTCTCAAGAAAGACTCTACTCCATTTAGTCAGTTAATTATTTCTTTAAAGAAAAGTCAATATTTTCTTTCATATGATAAATGTTTCAATTTCTCACACATGTGGTTATGAAGAGTACTATCTTACGGGATATAACGCCGTGTAGTCCGTTGAAATTCAACCGACGTTTCGAAGGTTGGAATAAACCGAACTAGATACCAGCGTGAAAGTTCGGCCTGTCACCTGCTTTTTCTGGTTTCTTGCTCGGCGATAAGTTCCTGTGAAGCTTTGGTTGACTTTCAAAGGATTACATGGAGTTATATCCCAGAAGCCAGAACTCTTCAGTCTATGAATTGCTTTTCATGTCTACCTTTCAGAAGGAACGTTGCTACATGACGGTCACGTGAGAAGCGGATGTTGGTTCCGCTGGGGACAGCGTACTGTATTCCTAACTCTGGTTACCCCACGTCTGTCTCGCCAGACCTGCCCTGCTTGTGACTTGTTTTCTCCGGAGAAGAAGGGGGTTAACAGTGTACCCGACATGGCTGATTAATACTGCAGGAGACTGTGTGCAACGAAGCAGAACCTACGGCCCTCATGCCGATCTTGCAGAAACCTAACCCATGCCAATTCTGTTTATTCGCACGCCTTTTCCTTAATATTCATTGGCGTCTCTGGACAATGTCCAAAATAACTTTGGGGTGTAATGAAACACACATTTTCATCAATAAGTGGAGAACGGATGCTTAGCCCGCGGCCCACAAATGCGTTTCGGCTGCATAAGGGGGGGGGGGCACGCGGTAGCGTTGTTGGTTGAAGCACTATGCCACAAACCGGAAGGTCGTGGGTTCGAGCCTCGATAAGGTGATTTTTTTCAATTGACCTAATCCTTCCAGCCGCACTATGATCCTGTGGTCGACTCAGCCTCTAATAGAAATGAGTGCCAGGAATCTTCCTGGGGGTTAAAGAGGAGCCGGAGAGTAAGGCTGACAACCTCACCACCATCTATGGGCCGATTGTCTAGAAAATGTGGGGTCCTCGACATCTCACAACCCTACGGGCTTCCACGGCCTCTTACAGAGATACGATACCTTTCACCTGCATAAGGAACACAGTTACAGCGTGAAGTAACTGTTAGTTTCAAGCGAATAATTAATAAAAATAGGAAAACCGAATTTAAGGACGAATGTTATCGAATATTATGTGCAAATATGTGTGTTTAGTGGATAGCATTAAGATAGTAGAACTCATAATACATTTACATGAAGTTTCGGTATAATTTTGTTATTTTGGTCCTGTGACCCGACGCTAGTCGATAGGAAAATTTGAATGTTACCTCAGGCTGTAAGCACAATAGACCACTGAGGTCGCGGTGCAAGGGCCGAGAAGGCCTGCCCCTCATACATAGTATACGAATACCTCAGGCTACGACCCCTTGACTTAGGGAATAGGCGAATATCAAGCCATGTTTTTCGCCTATTGGGACACGCGGTAGGGTGATTGGTTAAGGCACTATGCTACAAGCTGGAAGGTCGCGGTTTCAATTCCCGATGACAACCTTACCGCCATCTGTGAGCCGAAAGTCTAGAAAATGTGGGAACCTTCAACATCTCGCAACCCTACGGGCCTCCACGGCCTGTTACAGGGATACCGTCACTTATTACTTTCTTACCAATGCGGAACAGAAGCGGTAATCGTTTGGCATTCGGTGGCAAATAGGCTTATTTTGAATTGATTCTGAACGCTCATAGATCTTTTTATAGAAGAGATAAGGGCCATTGATAAGAGACTGACTGACTGACTTTTAGATCTACCTGACAATGCGCACAGCACATAAACGTCATCATCATTATCATCAACTATGCACGATTCTACTTAATTTCCTATCTAAAGCCTTTGGATGCCGATTGGTTGGTTTATTCAGACACGTATTTTTTTCTGGCACCCAGAATCTCTTAGCAGCAAAGGTTTCCATCTCCATGTTGCTTTGGTGTCCTGTTTGTCTTCATTTTGTGTCTACTGGAGCCAGTTCTTCTGAAAGCATTAACATTTCTCGGATATCTGTGCTTCTTTGATAATCCCATCTTAAAATATGCGGACAATGTACTTTCTTTAGAAATCTCACTTGTGCTGATCTCTCTGTCTCTCTCTCTCTCTCTCTCTGCCCTTCTGTGTAATAGCCTGTCTTCACCGCAATATTTCAAAGTTTATTTTCCCGCGACCCTGTGTATTCTTGTAAAATTGTCCCTGTTCCTAACTAACTAAGCACTACGCCATGAAGGCGTATGGGGGAGTGGATGTATAGATCCACATTTTCTTGACCTCGGCACTAGCTGGAGGTGAGTGGTAAGCTTCACGCCCCGGCCGCTTTACTCTTGGGGAAAGCGCTCCCGGTACAAATTGGATAGGAGGCCTGGTGGGCCCCAGAGCCGGTCGGGACGATATGGAGAAGAGAAAATTCTAAACCTATTGAGGCTCGAACTCCTACCCCTCGGCCGTCCAGCCCGTAAGAAGTCGCTATACCTACTGCGCTGCAATTTCTCTAAAAAATGTATGGGAAAAATGTAATTTTGGTTCATATTTGAAAAGCACTAACCAATACTTTTCATTTAGTGGTGGGTCAAATTATATGTTTCAGTAACAGCTCACTTCAGTAGACTTTCGTGCAGATAGAAAAGATGGAGCAAAAACTGTAGTATAATTTCCCATGTAACTCATCTTGAAATAGCTTATGGCTGATTTCCCTGTTTCTCTCGTGTCACAGGGTGAAGCACAGCAGGATGGGTGATTGTTGGCATGAGAACGCAAATCTTTCTCTTATCTCCACCGATAAAACAGCGTCCCGGGGCGACAGTCTGTCATATTTTTTCTCCGCAGCGGCTCCTCTACTACGGACAGGACTCAAGCTCGACTCCCGGTGAGATCAATATCTAACAAGAAACACTCTATTGTTGAAAAGAAATCTTATGATGTCGCGATTGCAGCTATCACAGAAATTGTTGTAACAGTAGGATCCACAAACAAATTAGCAAAATTCGTTCTTACTGTTCACAGTGAGAATGGTTTCATAACATAAATTCAGAAAGTATCACGCATTTCAGACTTTGGTGTTTACTCCAGCTCATACAGAAGTTTTCACTTTTCTTCATCTGTGAGATTTCAGACTGTTGTATTCTGAGTTATGACAACATGTAGAGTTGTGGGCGGATACCGACATCCTGGGAGGAATATGTTACTTTATCTACCCTCTCACCGCCTTACATCTGAGTGTCCATCTTCCTTTCAGATGACTGCGTCCTCACTCCACTAACGTTGAATCTTAAGATGGAGGCTGCATAAGTCTTCTTCCGGAACAGTACTGTCCACTTACAGCCCCTACATGGTATCACAACTCAGATCTGCGCTAGTCTTGCATGAGAATACAGCTTTAAGTGATATTGTTACTAGTTTTTAAGTTCGTTCGAATTCTGTTCTAGATACAGAATGTGGCTGGATACAGCTGTCAGAGAACTTCTTATTATAGACCAATACAGGATTTCGAGATAAAGAATGCCGATATTTATAAGTGAAGGATCTGCCGGATTAGCTATAACAGCGAAACAAATTGTGGCTTTCGGGTACACTGCACATTTTTCTTCTGAATATTATTTCGTTTTAGCCCATCTACTCGTCAGCTGCTGCCATCTGCACCTCAAAGTATTTCGAAATCTGCAGCTGCATTTTCAGTATTCTTACTTTTAGTTGCTGTAAAAAGTTAAAACTATCCCTGTAACAGGCCGTGGAGGCCGTAGGGTTGTGAGACGTCGAGGCTCCCACATTTTCTCTAGACAATCGCCTCACAGATGGCGGTGAGGTTGTCACCCTTACGCGCCCGCCGCCCTTACCCCCAAGGAAGATTCCTGGTACTCATTTCTGTTAGAGGCTTAGTCAACGCCAGAGCCATAGTGTGATTGGAAGAATTAGGTAAATTGAAAAAATCAATGACATGGGGAATCAAACCCGGGACCTTCCGGCTTGTAGCACAGTGCCTCAACCAGCTTCGCTACCACGTGCCCCTTTAATCGCTGTAGCCATGTCATTTCTGGAAGTATAAACTTGTCCGTTATATAATCGCCAAAATTGAATCTAATAGACTCAGAACGTGTAAACAGGAAGGCCAATAATTTGGTTCTGCTCTAGCCACATCTTAATTCGGAATCCTGCACAGAGTGAGGATGCGTCAGCTGCTCTAAGAAGATTATAGAACATTCCTCAGGCTGTAGAAAAGTGTAATTTTCCAGAATATCCGAATGCACATTTCGATGTGTTGTTATTTTCTGCAAAAAGAAATAAGTCTACCGAAGAAAGCAGTCTTCTGGGATGTCGCATCGTGTAGATGTGCTGTTAACCGACGTTTCGTAGGAACGTATTGCCTCCATCTTCAGGGTAGAAGGAAAAAGAAGAAAATCCGCAAGCGAAGAGACAGTGAGAACCGGTGCAAGCAGATGGAGGCGATACGTTCCTCCGAAACGTCGGTTAACACCACATCTACACAGTCCCACATCCCAGAAGACTGTTTTCTTCATAGTCACCGCCGTGAAAACCTCAGATCTTACAATAAATCTACCATGTTTATTCTTATGAGTCCACATCGCGCATCTACTGTAGGCGTGTATTGGCCCAGAACTCTTCGTTCGACGATTGTGAAGGTTTACAGTCGCTGAAGTGTGGAAAATATTTTGTCAGGGAAAATATTTTGCTCAGATATTAATCTCTTTTTCCTTGCACGCACCTCTGCTGAACAAGTTTGCTGAAGCGGTAAAAATTCTGGCTCATGTCCGGAAGTTTCCAACCTGGGCCGGGACTTTGTCCAGCCTGACTGAGATTCCTCCTTATTTACTTCAGTCCTCCAGGTAAATTTCAGAATAGCAAAAAAATTAGGCCACGACCACTTCCTTTTATACTCTAACCCATTTATTAATTATTAATCGTCATGTCAATTGACACTATAATCTGAGTTACAGAAAGCATCATTAAATAAACCATAAAATATAAGATATAAGCATACCGGCATTCTTTTGCGGACACTCTGTACATGAGATGTATTTATTTTAAGAATTTTCCTCTCTTCTGGCCCCAACTTTGGAGCATAGGGCTGATTTCTCAGTTTCATTATTATTTTACAGACGGCAGGACTCCATGGAAGGGTGATCAACTCGTCGCAAGGTCTCCACCTAAACACAGTACAACACAAACACAGAACAAACGCATACACACACCAATCATCCATGCCTTGTATGGGATTCGAACCCACGATCCCGGCTTCCGAGAGAGCGAAGACAGTTCGTGCCTTAGACCGTCCGGCTACAGTGACCGGCGTTTTAAGAAATTGCCTGATGTTATTAGATACAAACCTCGACCGAATTTTATGCGTGTTTTTGCACAAAATTAATGAAATAATAAGCAAGTCGCATCTACCCGGCCACATGCTTCATCTTCGTAATTGCTTACATCGGCTCAATAAAATATCTACTTTACACGAAGCACAAACTTGAGGTCTGTAGTTCTTCCCGAGAAATAAGTCGTGATACAAAACCTAGTACGGGACATAAAATGCAGTATAACTCTTATTTCGTCCGCTATCATGTTTTGACGGCTGATGACAATCTCGTTCCTGTGTGTATAGGTGCACTGATGACTGTGAAACGTGGCTGGGTGAAAGTCGGAAGAGCTTACAAAGGCGAATAATAGATGTAGCTTACAATTATGGAACTCTTGTGTTAATTTTAAGAACTAATTTTTAAAACTGCAATCGGTCTACTTGAAATACAGAGTGATTCTCTCGCTAGGAAACCCAAACATTCCTCAATAGCTTTTTAATTTTTGTATGGTTCCTTATGAAAATTAATATGAACTTACCTGCATATGCTGAAAATGGCCCCCCGCAGCATCCAAGCACTTTTGTATGCGAGTCTGCAACCTGGCGAAGACGTCTGGTAATGTGACATCGGTAATAGCAGCAACCAGCCGCCGTATCGCATCTTTGAGTGCGTCAATTGTTCACGGCTTACTGCTGTATACACGGCCCTTCAGTAAACCCCACAAGAAGAAATGAGGTGACTTCAAGTCTGGTGATCTTGGCGGCTACAGATTTTTTCGAAATTAATCGATCACCGAAATAAGTTTCAATTTCCCTCATGCTTGCATTAGATGTACGGTAAGTTGCGCCATCTTGTTGAAGTAAGTTCCGTAAACGTAAACTTCGTCCATGCCAATTTTCATAGGGGAACCATACAAAAATTAAGAAGTTATTCAGGAATGTTCGGGTTTCCTAGCCAAAGAATCACACTGTAGTAAGCCAGGGATTAAAACATTCGTCAGTGTAGTGAATATTTAATTCGATACAAATAAACGTAGGGTATAAGTGAGTTTAATTAAAAAACATTTAACTACTGTTCAAATATATTTGTAACTGCAATAAATGAACATGAAGACCAAAATTGAGTGCACAATAGCAATAAACATTAGAGAGCACATTTATACCACTGGAGTACATATTTCCTCTCTCGTTACTTTGGAGAATACATATTATGCTCCCATTTTTTAAGTGATACTACTCTGTGTGTTCACAAACCTATGCCTTTCTTTGATATGTTGAATTTTCTTATCATGGTAAATGGGTTCAGTTTATTTATGAACAGTCTATACTGACGTCACTGGCAGCATCTGGTGCGCTAGTAACAATGGAATCTCGCCACCACACCCTGCATGCACCGCCCCGGAAGAAAAAAAAACTTTTTTGATTAAAAGCAACCCCTAGCATCACTACTACCCCGCTATGCGAGGCGGTGGCTGAGGGGCGCAGTGCATATATATACAAAACTGGCTCGGAATTGATTTTACGTCATTTCGGGTTGCTGGAAGTGGGCCGCCCCGGGGGTGGAGGGTTGCTCTTCCCATCCGAGGTTCTCCCACGCAATTAGCTCATCTAATAAAGTGTCTTCAGTTCGAGACTTGGTTATGTATTTTGTAATGATAAATGATGGTGTCTTTCGCGATCTTAGTGAGGCAGAGTGGTGAAATGTGAGATCAATAGAAACTGTAGAGAATTAGACACTGAGTAGCTACGTGCTATGTACTCCTCGCTATACTCACAGCAGAGAAACTTTTCTAGTGTCATGATACCGGGGAACGCTGTTGACTTAATGCTGATATTTCATATGCGTCATGAATGTAGAAAAGGTGTTCCTATATTACAAATTTCCGTAAGATAGCTCAGGTATAAGGAAGAATATTTGTAGTTTACCTGTAAAGATTTTAATACATTGCAAGCAGTAATTTCGTTCTTCTGACCTTACATGTGAAGTACTACTGGATTCCATCTCATTGTCACCATGTTGCACGAGTAATTTATCTTAACAAATCAGTGCCTAGTATCCGGGAAGCGTCTTATGATACTAACCAAGGAAATCTATTTTCTTTGTTTTCGAATTTTTGTAGGAAATTAAATGTGATATATGAGGCATAGGTAATAAAGAAGAAAAGGAAAAGCTATTCCTGTAACAGGCCGTGAAGGTCCATAGGTTTGAGAGACGTCGTGGATCCCACATTTTCTAAATCAGCTCATAGATGGCGGTGAAGTTGCCAGCCTTACGCGCCGGCAACCCTTTATCCCCAGGAAGATTCCTAGTACTCATTTTTGTTAGAGTTTTAGTCGATCCCAGGGCCATATTGCGGCTGGAAGGATTAGGTAAATTGAAAAAAATCCAATGACATCATCGGGAATCGAACCCCCGATCTTTCGTCTTGTAGCATAGTACCTCAGCTAACTATGCAATGGGGCCGCGCCATAGCTCAAGCTGTTAGTCGCTGGCTTCCCACCGCGGCGGCCCGGGTTCGATTCCGGGTCTTGTCAAGTGGGATTTGTGGTGGACAAAG